ACATATGGAAGCCATCATCTCAATGTCTCCCCTGTTGGCAGCCTTTCAGCCCCCTCCCCACAACCCAGACTATCCCCCAGTTCCCATCCCTTCATCTCTCTATTGTTACATGATCTGCCCTAAGAGCTCTCTAGAGGGTGGACCCAGCCACCACCCTCTCCCCTTCTCCAGGTGGCCGGGGGGATAAGCTTTCTGTCCCCTCCCCAAGTTCTCGTCACTACTCCAGCAGATTTCATTCTCCTTGCGCTCTCCTTTTCTGTCTTCCTCTCTTTATCGTCCCGCTCATGTGGAGATGATCCTTCAGCAGCTCATTAGCCAAGCTCCCCTTCTTTATTTCTCTTCCTCTCTTCTGTTCTTCCTTCTGTTTCCTCCTTTCTTCCACCATACAGCCTCTTGGTGATGAGAGGTTTGTGTTTTAGGAAAAAGCAGATGGTTAGCATATTTTAGAGTCCCATTTTAAATGTGTCTAATGTTGCATGTGTGTGTGTTTTTGTGTTTTCAGGAGACTGAACACCCTCAACAAGTGTGCTTTGATGAGACTGGAGATATCACCGCAGAGAAAAAGAGTAAGCGCACATGCACACACATTAACTCCACACCTTTCTGAAAAGCCCCTATGCAAGCCTCCTCAACCACAATTGCATTCCCTCACCTCAAACGTCGGTTCACTGTTGGCCACAGGGTGAAACCGTGGTCTTTCTCTCGTCTGGTTTAATGAGAAGGCACCTGTTGGGTTGATTTCTATATCAAGTGGGCTGAGAGGACCCTAGGGGGAAGGAGGATCACTTTAATGTCTAAATGAAGGGGTTGCATTCACCAGAACCTCCCCCTACTCAAGGCATGCTCCCCTTCTTTCTCAAATGCTTCCTCATACTTCTGGCTCACCATAAAAGGAATTAGACTGCTGCTTTGTCGCAATCTTGCAGAACGAACAACCCAACATGGCCTGTATGTGATCAAACTCAATAGATGTATTTGATTGAGTGCCAACTCCCTCAAACACCACATTCTTAGACTACACGTTCAAAGAAACAGGCCTCTTGGAAGAAATGGTGATATTTGTGTGTATATCCTGGTTTTAGCACATTTCAAGTAAACCATTCAGACTAACTTACACTTTGACTTTGCGACAAGATTTGCTCGTTTTTCTACAAACTAACCTTATTTCACAAACAGCTTTAAGTGGTACATAGTAACATCCTTGTTCTGTGTGTGGTGGTATTCATTAGGATGACCCTTTCTGTGTCACCTTTCATTTCAGGAGTCAACAAGAGTAGAGGAGTCAAAGAGGTTATTTGCCATCTTTGCAGGATGACAACCCCCTCCTTAGACAGCTTAGGAATGCATTGATCTCCTCGTGTCTTAACATTCCCTCTCTCTTAAATCTCCATCCCTTCTTTTTTGGTTTGTTCTTTCTATCTGTCCAATAGTAATAATACATAGTTTTCCTTCTGCAGACTTCTTGTGAGGTTCAAAGCTCCCACCGTTTCAGTGAATGCTTTGGTGGTTTGATGGTTTGAGGATAAGATCCAGAATGTTGATAAATGCTTGACGCTCTGTTGGCCAATCAACGCTCTCTGTGCAGCTATCTCACATTCCAACCAACATAACTAATTAAAAAAAACATATTGGAATCTGAAAATGTCCCAAAAGTTGCTATTGTCCACTATAAATGGTCGCATTGATAGATCAAAAACCCTGTGACTTTTTATTTTAAGCTACGTAATGTTTCCACTGCGAACATATAATTAAGGATGCCAGTATATGAAGCCCATGGAACACTGGCACTCAGCTAGTGGAGCATGAGTTTCGTGAATTTGACCGTTTTTTTTATGGATTTTCTTTTTGAACTACACATTTCTCGGCATATGTGTAAAGGGGGTTCTAATTATTGCTTTAAACCCTCTAAGGTTATTGCTTTCTTAGCTGTAAGATTAAAGATAGGGCTTCAGAAAGGTAAAGATAAATGAGAGGTTACATTTTGGCGTGTGGTTTGGTCCACCACTTGGATTGGGATCTGTGAAGATGGCTTTTTGGAATCTCCCAGCTTAGTGTGTTTGAAAGCGTATATATGTCACTGTCATAGATAAGGAATAAGCAACGACAATAGAAGTGTATCATTGACGCTGTATCACACTTATCACACTTAATGTGTGTGTGTGTGTGTGTGTGTGTGTGTGTGTGTGTGTGTGTGTGTGTGTGTGTGTGTGTGTGTGTGTGTGTGTGTGTGTGTGTGTGTGTGTGTGTGTACACACATATACACAGACAGGGGGGATAAACACTGTAGGGGGGAGCGACCCCAGTCTAGCCGGCTGCACTACAAACTATGGGGGTCATAATGGAATTTCCTGAACTCCCTCCAGGGCCTGAGATAGATTAACCAAACTGGGGGAGGTGTGTGCACTTTGTGAAATTGCATGGCACCCAGTAATGGTCACTTTTTTGTCTTCGTATCTTTTGTCGGGAAGAAGCTGAATCCTGTTTGCTGGCTGGTCATACGCCTAACCACAGCGACTCAGTTTAGGATGATGTTGTATAAAACTATTGTAGAATTCCGTGTCAAAGGATCTCGTAAAGGTTCTTAGGTTGTGGGGCATTTTACAGCCGTAAGTATATTTTATATAGTTTACAAAAACATAGATACATTTGGAAAGCACACGTGAATGCACACAAGGCAAAGGGCAAATGCAACGGTTATAAAATAAATTCCATAACTCTAGAAAGTTTCCTGGACCAAGGTGAGGAATGTTGGAAAAGAAATGGAAAACGTAGCAATGCATAATGTTCTCTAACTGTTCCTCTCCCTCCCTCTCCTTTTTTCCATCTCTTCCTCCTATTTCTTTCTCCCTGTCCCTTATCCACTCCTTCTCCCTTCTCCAGAGCGAGGACTCCGATGAGGACGAGCCCTGTGCCATCAGTGGCCGCTGGACCTTCCAGAGGGACAGCAAGCGCTGGTCCCGTATGGAGGAGCTGGAGGTTTTTTCCTCACTACCAGCAGATGCTGTGCTACCCCCATTCCCAAAGGAGGCATCCCAGAAAGGAAAGCTCACCCTGCGCGAAGCCAACAGTTCAGAGAGTGTGCTGACCGACCTCAGCGAGCAGCCGGAAGTGGGCTCCATCCACAGCAGCGGGAGTGTAGGGAGAGAAGAGAAGAGCCATGGTGCCGCCTTGAAAAATGAAGCCTCCGGCGCCACTCGTGCCAGCTCTGTAGCAAGCATGTGCTCATCCTCGGGCACAGGCGGGTCAGGATGCGCTAACGAGGACTCTCTGTCTGATGGGATGCCTCCGTCGCCCCTAGAGACACTCGGACAGTTCACCTTTGATGTAAAAACAGGCATGGGAGGACTAGGAGGTGGTCTGGACCGAGGAGGTGGCAGCAGCAAGAGCACACGCTCAAGAGCAAAGACCTTCCTCAAGAGGATGGAGAGTCTGCGGCTGCGCAGCGGCACCTCCTCCAAGAGAAAGAAGAAGGGGAGCGCCAGCGGGGGGAAGATAGAGATCAGTGAGCCTGTCATCAAAGAGGGCCTGGATGATGACAAGCTGCGAAGGCTCAACTGTGTGGACATCTCCAGTATGAACCTCAACCTCAATCACCAGTGCAATCCCGCTGGGACTATGACACTCAACCGGAATCGCTCAGTATCCTACTCCACACAGACCAGCAACGGCAGCACTGGGAGCAGCCAATCGGAAGCTAGTAGTGGAAGTGCAGTGAGCACGCCGAGCCCGGTGACTCGCGCTCGCAGCCACAGCACAGCGGCGGGCTCTAGTAAGAGAGGCGGGATGTATTTGGAGGGTTTCGATCCTTTCAGCCTTCCCCAACAAGCTTCAGATCGACAAACTACACCCACACCCAAATCTGCGCCACCCATCCCCTGCCAAGCTAGCAGTGGGATGACAGTTGATGAGCAGAACCACAGGAACAACTGCAGTGTTCGAGACAATAGCAGAAGAACTGAAGAAGAGGAAGAGGAGGGAGAAGGGGGTATGATCTTCTTCTACTTACCAGAAGGTCACAAGCCTGGGACCTTCCCCAAAGCCCTCCAGGATGGGAGTTCACGCAATAACAATGGGAATGATAACGGGAATTCGGTGACCCTCAGGGGGCGGCAGAGCAGACGCCAGCGGCACTGTTCGGAGGGATCCGTCGACAGCCGGCTCAGCTTTTACGACAACGTCCCCTACACTGAGCGGGAGGAGGAGGAGGAGGAGGAGGAGGAAGAGGAGGAGGAGGGGGACGAGCGCAAACTGGAGCAAGTGCTGCAACATGTCAGCGGTCTGCAGCGCTTTGTGAACGCCTGGTCAGAGGCTGTGGCCGGAGAGGAGGAGGAGGAGGATGAAGAGGAAGAAGGAGACTCGGATTCGGCACTGGACTCTGCCTCCCCCTGCCCATCCTCTCCTCTGCAGAACCGGCTGGAGGAGACTGAAAACGGAAGTGACCAAGACAGCACAGGAAACCCGCTGGGAGAGGGGGAGGAGGGGATGAGAGAGAGGAGAGATTCTGGGGTCGGCGCGTCACTAACCAGAACCAGCAGGTCAGTGAAGAACATTTATATTGTCTTTTTACCAATGCAGGATAACCATGAGTTTCTTGACAAAAATGATGACAGAAAATAAAATCTCACCTACCACTCATGGTGTCTAGCCATGGTTTTAAGATATTGGTTTCTTAGTTTTCATCTCTTTGTAACGGCACATTCAAAGACGTTTCTCTCGCATTATAGGGACTCAAAAAAAACTACATTTCTATAACCTTTTCATACTACGTTTTAGTGTTCAGAGTCAGGTACATTTCAAACAAACAAGCTCATGCTCTTAGTATTCTTCTGTAAAACTCCTGCCTTACATTACCTAAATGCCTGAAATGCTCAAGGACAACAAAACAATAGAAAGACAAACACTCAGGCTCCGACAAAACATAGTTTTCCCTAGACGGTGACAGCAAAGGATAAACATGGGGACACGCTGAGACTCCTCTCCTGACGTAATGGTGCTGAATATTCTGGAATGCTGCTTGGTCTCCATGGGCACGCCTGTTGTTCCTTCAGGAATCCGCAGGCAGAATTACATTCTGGGGGTGTACAACTTTTGAGCCTTTAAGACAATCTCCTGATTGATGTGCACATAAACCCCTGTAATCCCTTAACTGATCACTTGGCAGGTGAAACTACCAACTGTGTGTGGCTTTGTTTGTATTCTAAGTTTATGTGTACACAAAAAGCATGACGCGGATCCAAAGAGTTTGACTGCTCCTTTTTAATCACATCTCACAGCTCAACTTGTGCTCTCTCCCTCTCGTTTCCCTGAACATTCTCCAGACCACAGAAACTGCGCTGGCCGAGCTTCCAGAACTCTCATCGGCCCAGCTTGGCGTCGGCCCAGCTCCAGATTAGCTGCCAGTCTGTGCTACAGATGAATCTGCTCCAGAAGCTCTCTCTGCTACAGCTCACTGCTCTGCTGGAGAGACACACCCCTACAAACAAACATGGCTTCAGCTGGTGAGTGGACTACAGTACAATTATATTTATTGTGTAAGGAACAGGGAGTATTAGGGATAGGGGGACTTCATATGGTGATTGTTCAACCTATAATACAACTTTAAAGCTTGTTTTTCCTGCATGAGGCCATACGTGTCTGGCTAATTAATTACTGTAAATGATGCCATCAAATACTTCCACTTAGCAAACCATCAATCCAACTCCTATCCCACCCATCTCCCGATCCCCTCCATCTGCAGGTTGTTGTGTGGCGACGGCTGTCCACAGAGGTTGGGTTTCACATTCTTTTCCCAGGCCCGTAATTGCTGGGAAGGGGCCGTACATTGTCTTTTTCTCAACGGGGCAATCATAGCAGTTCACACGCATGGTGTTACCAGAGCTGGAGGCTGGAAGGATCTGTCCACAGCCATTATCCCTCCACCTTCTGTATCACTTCTCGGCTATCAGTCTTTCCTTACTTTATTATCTGGTTGTGATTCTCCAATGGCACATAATGTCTTCCTTGTTACTGTATCCGCTTTACAAGTTTACAGTTCTCTCCCACTGTACTTCTGCCTTTGGTTTTTGCATCCTTCCCTTTTGTCGGAAGTTAGATGCTGGGTAAAAGTATTTTAGAAAGATCCTGTGATAGGGAAGCCCTAAAGGAAAAGCAGACATATCTATATACAAACGTTTGCATATACTGTAATTACAATGTACATAGATATATAAGCTGTTTCCAGATTCCAGTACCGTTTTCAGTTTACAGTTCACGCAGAGAACAATCATGTGGGGCTAAAGATACATAATTGTAGGAAATGTGATAGGGGAGCCCTAAAGGAAAAGCAGTCCAAAATATAAGTGATGTAAACAAGATTTAACTTTTGAATACTGGACATTCTTCCGAGTCAAAACATAAAACTTTTGAAATATTAAAGAAATCTACCAAACAGGATCACAGTAACACAGTTCTAACATGTATGGAAAATGTCATACAACTTTAAAAGTTTTAAGAAAATAAAGTGAGAAATCGCATCATATCCTTGTTTTTCCCACTTTCTTTATTTCTTCAACCCGAGGCCTTCCCTAGGACAGGAACAGAAGGCGTTATGATGGTCTTATGACAGGCTGAGGCTCTCTGAAAGACAGAGGCCGCTTGTTAGCCGCCGAAGGCCCATACATATACAGAATTCTGGGAACGGATCTTTAAAATGCTTCCTTTCAATTTTTTCCCAAACTGTAATTCTGAGATCCGTTTTAAGTCTTTTGAACGGCTTCTACAAAGACGCGCCTGTCCTGAGTCACACATAGCGTCTCTCTGCTAAACACACTCACACCCATGCAGATAGATTCACAGCCATAAATCTGTGGGTGCATTCTTGTGAAACGGTCGGAGCTGATGTTTCAACTCTGGGGTTTGTGGTTATAGACTTGGTGTTCACTTGCTCCCAAGCCCACAAACACACAAAGTAACAAACAGTGAGACAGACACTTTGTGCGGATGTATAAAATGGTGGGACCCTCCCCTTTTGACACCCGTCGGTACATCCTACGGTTACAAACGGTTTATCCTCCCCTCTCATAAACCTGGAGACAGGCTTCTACAGCTGCTTGGTTTCCTCCTTGCACACATAAAACACATTTGGGTAGCTGGTCTATTTCTGTCCGGATGTGATTTAGCGCTGCAGAGCTAAACAAATTCCACAAGATGTCCAATCCATCATCTAAGAAACTGAGTAAGAATGGAGGCATATCTTTGAATTGTTGACTTGTTTAAAGAAATCCTTCAACACCTGAACAACTTAATTTGTATCTTAATTCATGTCATTATGCAGCAGATATTGATGAGTTTTTTTTCTCTTGTGTGTGCATGTTGCAGGGCTGTGCCAAAGTTTATGAAGCGGATCAAGGTGCGCGACTACAAAGACAGGAATGTGTTCGGTGTGCCACTACAAGTCATGGTCCAGCGGACAGGCCAGCCGCTCCCTCAGGGGATCCAGCAGGCCATGCGCTATTTACGCAGCCAGTGCCTCGACCAGGTAACAATAAGTACACATATAGACATATATATATATAAACATTTGCATATACCGTAATTACAATGTCCATGGAACGTCAAAGCTGCTTCCAATCTGTCAATGAGATTCCGTTTTCTGTTCACACAATAATCTGGTGCTAAAGATACATAATGTGCAATCAGTCAAATATTCATCCACAGTTTTTTCAGTGGTTGTTATGTCTCAGAAAACACACTTAGTCAGTAAGTGTTTACAGTTCTTCTCTCCCCCGCTGAAGCATGGAGGTCTGGAGAGAGTCAAAGTGTACTGCTGTTAAATCACCTGTGTCTGTCTGTTTAATCCACGGACATCATGACTGATTTATCTTAGTGTGTGTGAGTACTGTATGCTTGAACATTCATAGAGGAAAGAAAGGAGTTAGTAGAAAATAGCTAATAACAGAGGACGAAACAGAAAACAGAGTGATGCTGTTCTATTCAAAGCAGGACAAGGCGCCTCTGTTTGAAGGTGGTGAAAGCTCATGGAAAATATTCAGGCTGGCATCGGCCGGCAGCCTATTTCTCTTTTCCTCCCAACATTTCCATTTCATACAGCCTTAAAAGGCTACTGATGAGGTCCTACACAGCATTCAGTACAGCGATGCCTACTGGGTGTCATGGAGCTTCTTATAAATACAGTCAACAGAATCTGCAGTGATGTCACCATATTGACTGTAAACTCCGGATTTGAGGATAAGCCAAAATGTAATTTTTCAATTATAACAGTCTGCAGCTTTATAATCATTTAAAGGTCATTGCAAATAAGATTTGGGCTCATGAATCCTTTTTGATATGCCTTCATGATAGTATCAAACATTACTCATGGTAATTACTTATGAGGGAACTACAGTTCCAAGCGGACATAGCTATTCTTGTGTATGTATGCATAATGTAACCATTCTCCCCCCCATGTCACTTTCTGTCCAGGTGGGTCTTTTCAGGAAATCAGGTGTTAAATCTCGTATCCAAGCTCTTCGCCAGATGAACGAGTCGAGCGGCGCAGACGGGGGAGGCGTCAACTACGAGGGCCAATCGGCTTATGACGTTGCCGACATGCTGAAGCAGTACTTCAGAGATTTGCCAGAACCCCTGCTCACTAGCAAACTGTCTGAGACCTTCCTCCAGATCTATCAGTGTAAGGACACGCACACCTACATTCAAATTGTAAACAAAATCTTGTTGAGACAATACATGCATTACCTCACAAACATAGCCACCTGTCTGTGAGAGGATTGCATGCTGGAATGCACAAGATGCTATTGTTTTAGAGCTGTAGATGCTTGCCTGCCATGAAGCAAGAAAATTGTGAAACCTTAATAAGAAAACAAACAACACGAGCGCAGGAAATGCCTGTGGAATGATGTTATATATGTGATTGGTTCATCCTTCTTTGGCTCACTGTTCACATCCCTGTGCATTCTCGACCTTTGCATTCGGAACTGTTTGTATAAAGTGAAACAATACTATCCCTGTACATGAGGAACACCATATAGTGTACAAACACATGTAGGCTTAGACAACACACATAGATCATAGCTAACTTCTTGACTGGAAAAAGTCATTATGTAGAATGCCAAAGGTTATTCTTCTGTATATAATATAAAGAAACGAGCCCTGACATAATCCCTCTTCCTCTCCAGACATGCCTAAAGAGCTGCGTCTGCAGGCCGCGCGGGCCGCCGTGCTGCTGCTGCCCGACGAGAACCGCGAGGTGCTGAAAACGCTCCTCTGCCTGCTGAGCGACGTGACGGCCAGCGTTTCCGAGAACCAGATGACTCCCACCAACCTGGCTGTGTGTCTGGCGCCATCCCTCTTCCACCTCAACACCCTGCGCCGCAAGGAGAGCTCCTCCCCAAGGTGTGTGTATGTTCCACTACTGTCATCTTCTCATTTAAATGGACTGCATTTATGGAGCGCTTTTTCAGTCATTACGAGCCCTCAAAGCTCTTTTACATAAACAAGTCAGCATTCACACCCCATTAGCCATGCCATCATGCCCAAGAATATATCGACATGTTGACAGGGGCTAACCACCGACCTTCTGATTGGTTGACGACCACACTACCTCACAGCCGCAGTCACTGCCTTTGTTTTGATTGCCACCACTGATATAGATTTTGTATTAGCAGCTCCCATATGAAATATGCTGTACATTCTCAAAACAGGAAAGGGTCAATCCAAAGAAACAAAAGAGCCGGATACTGTAGATGGAGGATAGAGAAGAAAGGGGGAGGGAGAGCAAAGCTGGACAGGGGAGGAAGAGGGAGAGACAGAGGAAATAGAATGATTACATAAACATATTACCTTATTAAGAAATATATGTGAAGCTAGAAGAGGGTTCATCAGGTTTATGTTCGTTCTTTCAACCCGCTTCCTCCACTCTATCCAATGAACGCTGTCTGGATGATGAATGCTGTTACTAATCATACTGTCCTTCTTTCCCCTCTGCCTTGGTCAAAGGGTGATGAACAGGAAGCAGACACTGGGAAAGCCGGACCAAAGAGACCTGAATGAGAACCTGGCTGCCACTCACGGCCTGGCACACATGATCCAGGAGTGCAGCAAACTCTTTCGGGTCAGTAGTGAACAACACTTGAGCTTTAAAGCTAAAGTTAGCATGAAAATGAAATGTGCTTTACTGACTGAAATATATGTGTCAAACTTAACTTAGGTCAATGAAGGCGTGTTTGCTGACAGAATTAATGTCGGCTCACTTTCCCGTGTCATTGCCAAACACCTGTAAACATATATAATATCTAACATGACATAAGTCACTGATTCAATTCATGATGTAATTTCCTCAAGCAATGTTATGATTGTGTAAAGTAAATGGGCAAACCTGTTTAAGCCACCGTTTGGCAGACTTACCTTCATCTCTCTTTCCATTTATACCAAACATTGGTGGAAAAAGAAGGTGGAAATAAATTAGAAGCTGCAAACCCATAAATCCATGAGTCAACAAGGAAATCACTTGACTGGATAAACAGGAAATAATCAGCAAACTACACTTACTAATCCAATTTCAATCTCATTCAGCCTAAAACGTTGCACTGCCCAGTCTCCTCTGACATGCTACGGTAAATGCTAAGAGGCTGCGGGTTATTAGTTAACTTTAATTAGATTGCTTTCTTGTTTCCTGTCATGGTCACATCACACAGCAAGGCAACTCAATTACCTCCCAAATTATTTCCTTTAATTAGATCTGTATTGGCTTGCAAAGGTTCATAAAAGGATATGAAAAATAACTAATAACTTACAGTAATTTGACTCCATTTTAAGTCAGTTTTAACAAATAAACACAATTTCCTCCAGACTATAACATTGTTATTGTTCAATTCAATTTGAAAGGTGACGCATGAAGACAGACGCTAAGAGAGAAATAATGAGGATGAGCTAGGCTAACAAGGAGATGAAAATAGGATGTGGTGTGTGTCGGTTTGTAATTGCAGTCTTATACGCTCAGGTTACAATAAATAGAAAGGAATTCATTTGATCAGAGTTGATATGCCTGACAAAACGTTTCATTAGAGACTAAGTCACTCTTACCATTTTTAAGTTTGACAATCCCCTCCAGACACGTTTAAAAACATATATTCAAAGCAGATTTGATGCCTTATATACTTTTTTTAAATGTTTTAAATCAAATCTGTAAATCACACATATTTACGGCTCATGACTCCCAGCAATACAACAGAAAGGTAAAGCCTGTCTCTAATGCTCCTGTCTCTAATGCTCCTCCCTCTCCTCCGTCCCCACAGATCCCAGAGGAGATGAATCGCTGCAGGAACTCGTACGTGGAGCAGGCGCTGTTGCCGCGGCGTCTGGAGGAGCTCGCCGGTGAAGAGGCCGGCCACGGTGGCTTCAGGGCCTTCCTGCGGGACAGCCTGGACACCCTGCTCAAAGACGCCAAGGACAAGTTCAAAGGTTACGACAGCTGTTCCACACCCGAGCACGCCGAGCTGGCCTGTAGGAAGGTAAGCCCACATCATTTAATCTCTATAGTTCATTTAAAAAACACAATATTGTTGATTACAATGATAGTTTGTGTAATAGAATCGCAATCATACACTTGAGGCCGTTCTTGAACGTCATTATTGGTATGACAGTACTGCGGCAGGACCGAGGCGCTTCTCGTGTATGATTGCTTAAGCCAATCACCAACCAAGGTACCCCCCCCCACCTCATCACCTGAATCTCCTCCTAGAGCACCATTGTGTTCTTTTTAACCAAATCTATCTCAGAGGGGCGTGGGGAGTGGCTCCTTATTTTCATCTAAAGTAACACTTATCAGCACTTTTGAAACAGGGCTGAAACAGAGGGGATTATGGGATGCTGCAATGATCTGTTTGGTATTTGGAGCCAAACACTTCAGAGACGTGTTTTGTATATAACTGAGACCTATGATATATTGATGAAAAACAGTATAATGGGGGTCCTTTAAAGAGGAATTCATGAGAGAGAAAAAACGAATTTGTGTAAACACGCCACCATTCATAAATCACACACTGGCTTTTTAGCTATCTGTGTTTCCTGTCGTCCCCTTTCCTCTTCATGTCTGCCTTTCCCTCTCTCCTGCCTCTCTAAATACCGTGTGGAAAACCAGCAGTTATGGTTTCCTGTATAGAAACACATCCGTGTGAAAGTGGCCTGTCCCTGGCTTCTCTTTCCCATCCCAGAACTGGACTCTGTCCCAGGATGACATCAGCCTGACACACACACACACACAAACATACACAAGCTCACCATTATCCCAGGCCTACATTTCCTGTGTCTCGTGTGCGAGGGCTCTGGATGAGGTTATCTTCTGCTCCAGTGTGAGAGTCACAAGGCGCAGAGTGTTTTTTATCATCTGATGGCAGAGCGAAGCAGCTGACTTTGCTGAAGGGCATTAGGAGGTTTTGAAACACAGCCTCACTGTTGGTAGCTGGAATACCTCTTCTAATTTCTGTAAATATGACTGATGACATTAGATATCCTAAATGAAGCCACTGAACACTTGCATAAGACTTTTAAAGTTCATTTAAAAAATATGGGATCTCCAGGATATTACCTCCTGGCAGATTTCAAGATTAAGGTTTGTCTTAGCCTGAAGACTGTGACACACAATATTAAAATGGAATGGATATTCTTTCACAAAAATAATAGGACTTTAATATCACAAGATATTCAGGACCAGGGACCTTTCTTGCATTTAATTCTTAATCACTCTCTTATTATATCGTGTCATCCCTATGGTTTAGGCTGCCAAACGAAGGTGTAAAATGCAGCTAAACATGAATCATTTAAAAAGAACTGCATGTTAAGTTTGTTTTGGTCTTTCCCGTGTTTCCCCAGGTGCATGATGGCTATCCTCTGCGGCTGTGGAAGGTGACTGTGGAGATGCCTGCGGGTCCTGAGGAAGTTCTGACCAGAGTGCTGCGGGAGCAGGGCTACTGGGACGAGGACCTGCTGGAGAGCCGGGTGGTGGAGACGTTAGATGAGAGGACGGAGGTCTACCAGTATGTCAGGAACACCATGGCTCCACACCCCACCAGAGACCACCTGGTGCTCAGGTACACATTGATTTTCTCTCGCTCCCTCTGTCTCTCTTTTTTGTTTGTCTTCATCTTTTTGTGATGTTCTGCTCGGATTAAATGTGTTTTTTAATCAAAGTCTTTACTCTCTCTGCTAGAACATGGGTAACAGACCTGCCAAAAGGAGCGTGTGCACTGGTTTGTACATCTGTGGACCATGAAGGCGCCCCTGTTGTAGGGGTCCGGGCCAATGTCCTCACCTCACGCTACTTCATCGAGCCCTGTGGATCCAACAAATCCAGACTCACACATATCTCCAGGATCGACTGCAGGTGAGTTAATGAGGAATTAGCGATTAGATATATTGTTTGTTTTGTGGTCATACATTGTCCTTTATTTAATTACACAATAAGTTAACATGTCTTTTTCCCTTTCTTCAGGGGTCGTTTCCCAGAGTGGTACAATAAACTGTATGGACACCAGTGCGCTGCAGAGATTGCGCGGATACGTGACTCATTCTCTGTGCCCATGGACAAATGAGAAAGCAGAGTGCAATTTGGGCATCGCCAGACTCAACAGCATAACATGACATCATCTGGATCCCAATGAGGACTCCAATGACTCATTCCACCCTTTCCAACTGAGAGGTAGACGGGGTCCAAGCCTATTAACACTCACACTTAAAGGACAAATCCTGGATCCTGGATTGAAGGACTTTTTTTGCTCTGATTTTGTTACAACGGATTGATGTTATCGTCTAAAGCGGTCGGGGTCTCAGTGTGCTGCCAGGAGAACTTATTCACACAAACATTTATCTGGGCTTAAGGACAACATATCGCTCATAAGGGATGTGGGGTTTCTCCAAAGGGAGCTATTGCTTCTGAGAAGCGTGTGTGTGTGTGTGTGTGTGTGTGTGTGTGTGTGTGTGTGTGTGTGTGTGTGTGTGTGTGTGTGTGTGTGGCTTCAAAGCAGTTAAAAAATAGATATTCCTCGCACTGGTTTCCAGTGGCAGCATAATATGTACATACAGTATTCTGTTCACAGTAATGGTGTGTGTCTGTCTTGTGATACCTCTGTCCCTTTATTCTGTTACAGCAAGGCACAGGGGGAATAGTATACAATATTGTAGTCAGTTGATTGATGAATCCATGGGTGAAGAAAGATGCGAATGTGCCGGTAATATGTAGACAGTAGAAAGGTCATAGAGAGATGGAAGCTGGGTGATACTCGGGTTTAAGTGTTTCAGTAAAGGAAGGAAAGACAGATGAGTTTTGGTGGCTGGCACACCAATAAGAGAAGGAACAATCAGGAAACGGCATCATTTACTGACATACAAAAAGATGTGTCTTCATTTTAGTTTTTGAAGAGACATGGGTAAAATGAGTAACTATGCTTGTAACAAAGCCAATTATTCAACAACAGTAAGAGATCATAAGAAAAAGTTTCTGACTGAGGATCAATGTTAGAGACAGAGAGTGTTGCGTCTTTTATATTATCACACCAACTCAGCTAGAATTTAAGACCAACAGATCAACAATAATGGACCAAAAATGAAAAATAGCTAAAACAATAAGTTTTGCATATTCCTTCTACCTAAAAAACAGTTAGAGGATGTTGAGAGCACAGTCAATTCACTTTTTTTTTTGTCGTAGGCCGGATATCACTTGTATTCATTATAAAACATATTGATTTCACAATAATTATGTACATAAAAACAAAACATGCACTGTTTTAACTTGCAACAGAAACCTCTAACTAGTCCTGTAAAAGATGAGAAGTAAACAAAAAATTGTCCTTTTATAAAGGTGGAGATTTTACAGGTTTTACTGTAAAGAAGAGGGCAGATTGAATGTTTGTGTGATTTCAAACAAAGGAAAACGATCTTTGTGTACGCTTCTTTCTCTGTGCTGTCTGTCAGTGTTTAAAAAGAAGTAGCATTCATAACACTCGAGCTTCAATCTGAGGGCGCGCGTTTCTCGTGTTGAGTCGTATGATTAAAAAGCTAAGCCATTGTTGATATCGTAAAAGTGTTTGTACCTATAACTGTGTCCCTGCCAAATAATAACGCATGACATTTACAGTTAATTTAAAACAAATATATTTATTCCTCAGATATGTTTGTTTTGTATCATACCATTTTATTTTATTGTAAATGTTAAGCTTTGTGTTACAGAAATGAACAAATGTTTTATCTTTTTTATTAATATTATTTCTGTACAGGTTAATCAAAGTGCACTATTAAATGTATTAAAATAAAAATGTTTTGTGTCATTTGTTTACACTTAAGTTTGTTCTCAGCCATTACATTAAGCGTCTTTGAGCATTGGAAAAAGCGCTGCAAAAATCCCATGTATTATTATTATTACTATTATTTATTATTACATCCAACTATCTATCTGTGTTTATTCCACACCAATAACTCCAGGAGTTTGGATGAGTGGCGTGCCCTCGGAGTTGGTATGTGGTGATCTCACTTGTTTTCTTACTTCTTACATAACTGTTCCATTAAGCAGAAGACAATAGAGTCTGTTGTCCCACAACTGGCCTGGGTTGGACCATGCACACTCAACGGGGGGCAAATGTAGAAATGTAGAAGAAAGTTCCAACACACGGACGGAAGTTTCACTTGCGTTCCCGCTCTGCTCTGACCCCTACACAGAGTAATTATGATCTATAAACTGTGTATTTACATAACTCAAGGACAGGTACTTAGCATACATGTTTAACAAGTGTTAACGTGACAGCACACAGCGTACTCGAGCTAAGACAATGCATTTACATTTTGTGCTGGCATACTTGCTCGCTTGTTTTTCTAGTGGACCATCAGCACTTCATGTACTTCAGGAACTAGAGATTAACCAGAGCCTAAAAGAAATTGCACATGAAGCCACAGTGTTTGTTCTTTCCTTTGTTTTTGTTTTGTATATTAACCAGATTTGTCTCCAGAACATTCTGATTAACTCACTTTCTGCATGTCTGAGCACACATTTGTTATCCATATGCCAGTTATTTTTTTGCATGCACATGTGTATGTATTTCTGCTGGGAACCCAAACACCTCTGGGAGATTATGCAGAGCCAGATAAAGCTGAGCGGGTGTCAGCACCAGGGCTGCATTCCTGCGCTGTTCTTTGAGAATCAGACGCAGAAGCTTTCCCACATTGATAAATGAATACAAACGTGCAAGTGCATGCATACGCAGTTTGGAGTGTGTGTTTGTGTGTGCTTTTTTTTCCTTTCACTTTGAAAGACATTCATATGAATTGCTGTACTGTAAGTGAAGGTTATTGCTAGTTATTGCAAATACACTGTGTGATTTTAGAATTGTTTATTACATTTTTACAACTGGGAATCTATTATTTTGTTCTGAACTAAGGATTGTAATGGAAGCCTATTCTTGCCAATCAGAGAAAAGAAAACCTATCCTGTAAATCAGTATTATCCCCTACAATCTCATTATTATGACTTACTAGCAGCTATGAAATCAAAACTAAACATGCATGCAAGATTGAGAGATGGAAAGGATCAAATATATTGGGAGAAATATAGCAAAGAATCTTAATAACTCATATATATATATATTAATTCAAATTAAACAAGATTAAAATAGGCAGTAGCTTGGGGTTTGAGGGAAAGTCTGCCACAATAAAAAAACTGAATGAAGATGTATTTTTCTTTAAATAAATTGGAACTGAACCAGACATTCCTCCTTTTCTTTTGTGGTTTTGGGATAGGGAAATTAAATATTTTTGAACAGCTGTCATCACAATGTGGTTTACCCAACACCCATTTATTTAGTTTAAGTGAGAAGTGATCATACTGATGTTTACAAAAAGAGATATATTAAGGATAAGATAAGACTGAAAAGTTAAATAAATGTTCAACCAACTGCAAAGCATAAGTAGAATACGCACAAGACAGCTGACAGCACCAGCGATATCCTGATTATTTCACATTGATTTATTCATCACATCCTATTGTGCAGTTAGAGCAGTTTCCCCAGATTAACTCACAAACATGAGCAATGCGAAGTCGTTTTTGGTCACAAGAAATCATGAGTGCGATATATATCTGATCACGTCTTCATGTGGAGTGGAATGCTTTGATGGATTACTTGGTTTTGAACACCTTGTTTTCAGAGTCAACATGGACAACATAACCTCATATTATTCCTCATCATATCTCCATATTGCTGAAATTCCAAAGGACGGTAGTGAAGCTTTTAAGCAGGTTTCTTTACATTCACCTACACACAGTTTAGTTGTTTTAATTACCTAATCACCAGTGTACTTGCATGGCAGAGTGTATGCTTACACTCGTCTATATTTATGAGTGTGACAGGGAGAGAAAGAAAGTGCTTCCTTCAAATACTATTTAACCTATGTGGCTGTTAATAGGCAAGTGCCACTTTTTAAATATTGTAATGCCTGAACACGCTGCTCCTGTAACAAAATAATTAAATGATTTAAATAAATAATGATGTCCAAATTTGAGATCAATAAAATATCTATCTATCTGAACATATTCAGCTGATTCAGCTCAGGCCAAACACAAGAGGTCACTAATGATCCACATGGCACACCTAACTAATGTTTTATGATTGAACACTGTCCTCTGGTGGCCGTTTGGAATAAAATGCTCATAATAATAAGACTCATCACCACACACTGGTTGCACACTGCCGTCAGCACATAGAATAAAAATATAGGCTTTGGGCAATAAAACCACAACCGTTTGACAAAAATATATATTGAATTGCTTTAAAAAATGTAATGTAATTTAATTTATTTTTAACTACAGGTGACGCAAAATCTCTACAGTCAGGAAATTGTATATGATTAAAATATAATTCCTTCTTAAGTCTTAACATTTTAAGACTTAAGACCTCTCTCTGGTCACTGAAATGGGGAATTGAAATTACGGGCCAAAAGTTGTACAAGTATTAAAAGTAAGCATAGGACACCAAACCAACTGAGACCCGTCTGTCCGCCGCATCTGCAATGTACAACACACACCTACACACTGTACCACACACACACCTACACATACCACACACACTTACTGCTCCTAAAGCATAATCAGGCTACAGCCGTTGTGTATTTTATTATGTGAAGCAATAAATGGTCTTAGAAAAATATCGACTCTTTGTTTGTAGATATCGACTAAAAGCATACAAATACAGAAAGTAATGTAGGCCTGTTATACTGAGTGATAAATATTTTACACACTGCTCTGCTTTCTGCACGGACCTCACAGCTGTTTTCACTGTAAACATCGCGTTGCGATGAGAGCAGTTACTAAAATAATATCCAAGGGATGCATGCAGAGCTGTCATTGGCTGAGATAAGTCCGGCCGTGCGTCACGCCTCCACCGTTCCCGGAAATGCATCCGTGGAGGATGCATCAGTAGCCTCATCCCAATACCCCTCCTCGACTCCTCTCTTCCCCTTGTCTTGACCCGGAAATCGATCAAGACACGCCATTTTGAAGGACGTCCCAATAGCTGAAATGCACACGGAGGAGTCGAGGAGGGGTGAGGGAGGAGGGGTGAGGGAGGAGGGGTGCGGGAGGAGACGA